ATGTCCCTATACCATGTTTGCCCCCGCTAGCCGATGCCAGTGTGCCCACTCAGGTCTGGCCATGCCATTCTAAGTGCTTCATGCCAAGCCTCGAGGTCTCATCGTCCGTACGCACAGGCTCGTACTGCTGCCAACATCGAGTGGAGCCACCCATCTTAACTTGCTTGGGTTCGCTCGAATGCCCTCTCCATGACCACACGGTGTGCTGCGCCACTGGTCCTCCCTTCCTCCTAGCGCTAGCGGCTCCGCTGTTCAATTCCTCACTCTAGTGGGTAGCTTAGGAAGCAGGCTAGCCGTATCCTTCTGATGGGTACAGGCCCGATCTTCCGAGAGGTAGCCGGTAAGTTCGATTTGTGGAGATCTCGACGTTGGCGATCCGGCTTCAAATCAGACGCGATTCGAACCCTGCAACCGTTACACCACTGCTCCGTTGGTTATCAACCAAGCACAACTTGATTGACCTCGCCAAGAAGGCTTTTCCTGCAAGCGAATCGAAGAGCACAAGCAAGAAGGTAAAACACGCAATCTGATATTGCAAATATGAATGATGCGAATATCAATAGAGGGTTCTAGAACTCGGTTCCAAAGGACTAATCGACACAGTGGAGGAGATCAAGATCGGGGGCCCTGGATCACTGTAAAAGGATTTGTCACCACAGTTACAATGAACGATTCAGTTTCTCGATGGAAAACTAAACTCTAAACAAAACCCAATTGTGTAGCAGCGGCGACGGCTGTGTGTTTATAGTCTAAGACTCGACCCAGGGTTGGGGACGGCCAGGGGTTGGGCGTCCACAACTTGGGCTTAAGGCCCGACACGATACATGGCCAAGTTGGCCCAAATAGGTGACGCAGCACCTTGCCATGGTCACACAGAATGATCCATGGACCTTCTGGAGCTGGGACCAGATCCAAAACGACGGTGTCATCGTCCCCTTTCCAACGCATCCAAGAACGGCCCGTTTCGATGTCGTATGAGAAAGTAATGACCGAAACAGTGACGGCGTGTCTGCTGAATCCGAGGGCGACGTGGCAGCTGAGTTGGGAATGAATTGCAACTTGGGGAAGACCATGGCGTCGGTGTGTCCAGCATGGCGATGTCCTCATCACCTTCCCCTTAAGCTCAGTCATGCCCTACCGACCGGCAATTTGGCCTTTTGCCTATCGCCAGTCATGGGAGCTGCCGAATCGGTAGGTTGGGAGGTAAGGCATGTAGGAGTGGTAGCAGTTCAATTGCTCATAACCCTAAACTCGCCTTGACTCCCTCTATCCGGTGCTCGCACTATTTTGGCTAGGGAACTCATCGGTGACTTGGTGATGCGTCGATGTCCGGCTCAGGGCGTCGCCGCCGTGCCCGAGCGCACGTGGCTAGACCACCTCAGCTTTTCCTTGCCTCAACTGTCAGTAGGGCGTACACCAAGGTGAGCTACTGATGCTTCTCTGCCATCTCTATGTTTCCGTGAGGGTGTAGGCTCACCGGAATAGTCGTGCCACCGCCGTGGATAGCCGCTCGCCGCTGCAACCCGCGACAGTGTGCCTCCGAGTCCCTAACCGCCACCCACCCTTACGTGTTTAGCTGTAGATGATGGTCGGCCCCTTACTTCTGTCGTATCACGCCTAGGTTGCCCGGCGTAACCGACTTATGCCGTCGGCCGCCACGCCGGCGCGCGCGGGGTTCCCATTGATCTTCCCGTGGTAAAGGCAAAAACATCCGAGGGTTTGGTTACAAAGTTACTGATGGTCAGAATAGTGCGCATAGTAATCGTATTAATCACTGAATGCTTGGGGGCCTTTCTACAAAACAACCAACGCGCGCGGGCGCCCTCGGCCTTGGGCCATGCTAGGCCGCCACGCCGCTCGCGCAGCCGCGCCGCGCTGGGCTGTTGGGCCAGGAGGAGTTGATGCCGGTCATTTCCTTTTTCTAATGCATTTTCTAATTTAGTTTCTAAGGTAAACATGTAAATTCAATATAAAATTGTGTAGTTAACCAAAAAATTGTGAAACTAATTTTGTTAAGTTCCTAAAATCATGATCTATCTACTAGTATATTTTATTCACATAGTTTTATAATATTTTCAGGAGTTATCTAGTTAATTTGAGATGCTTAATATTGTAAGATATAAACTTGAAGGAATTTTTGTGATAAATTGGTAATAGTGTTGGCTCTGAAACTTTCACAGTAAATTCCTAACATTATGAGGTGCTCACTATAATTTTTGTAGTTCCATACTAATTAGTTTGGTAAGGTAGTTAAATGAGCCCTAGTTCAAAAATATATGTTTAATCAATAAAATGCCGAAACACTTTGGGATTTTAAAAGTAGAACATTTTCCAAAAATGAAGCCTTACTTAACCACACAAATATGTAGACTAGTACGTTACTCATTAAAGCTAGCTCGTTAACCTGCGGAGCGTAATCGTATTTTAGAGTTGCAGTTGTCGTTGGTTAATTACGTTTTCTGTGTTGCATCCACGTATATTATAATAGGAACAACGATGGATCATGGAGTCGACTGAAGTATCAGAAAAGATGGTGACTTGATGATCGTGTCACCAATGGAATGCTAATCTTTGGTTATATCTTGCCCAAGCAAGCACCGGTGCATAACCCATATTATTCTGCACTTTAATTTATGCTTGTGCATTAAGTTTTAAGGAGTTGAATGAAACCACTTGCATATATATATCCTTATCCTATGAGCCCTACTAGTATGTCAGGATCGTGTAGATTGCTATGCTATAGGATCCGATAGAAGTCGAGTGATTACCTGTCACTCGTGAGAGATAGAAAAGATATTATTGTTGCTATTATATTACTATCACATGGAATACATATATGGATGATAATTGGAGACCGAGCGGAATGGTACTTTGGATCTGGTCTTGGTTAGGCATTCGAGCGAGGCTCGGATTGCACTTGTTCCACCCATGTCGATTGAGGACCGTCCGTTGCTGTGGATGGTAGTCAGGTCACAGACTTATTATCCTGAGCACATACTTGCTTATGGGAGCGAGAAGGCTCATTACGCTCTTGTCGCGGGTTTCAGCTCTTTCCGGACCGACTAATTGGAGGCGGGGAAAGGTGGAGGTCTAAGCACCATACTGAAATCGGGTCTCAAGTGTGGGGGCTTAGAGTCCAAGTTTGGACGCGGACCTGAACCCCGTGATAGGAGTGGAATGGGTTGGTCTTGTTTGTGTCTGGGGTACAAACGGGGCGTGTGTTTCGGGGTACCCAGCTGGGATACATTGATTCGCGAATCGCTGTTTCTGTGAGACGGTACAACTTGGCTATGGTCTAGCACCGTAGGAAGAACTAGAACTTGAAAGGTGATAAAATGGTTCTGATTGCTTACCACCTGCTTTAAAGTAGCATAGGTGCTTAAATAGAATAGTTAGTTAATGAACTAATGATGACTGCTAATAAAATTGAATATAAGGACGCACGTTTAGTAATGCTTCCGCAGATGCAATAACCCACAAGCTAAATAAGCCTTGCATATCCTTGGAGTCTTTTATTTTCCTCCTGTCAGGTAAGTCTTGTTGAGTACAATCGAGTACTCAGGGTTTTATTCCCCTGTTGCAGGTGACCGGAGGATACGTAGATCTAATTCTTATGTGTGGAAACCTCATGGTGGGCTAAGAGAGGATTCCTTTCACGCTACGACCATAGTGATTATTTATAACCCTCACTAAAGGTTTTTATAAGAAAAGATGTAAAATCTGCTAACATCTCTTATATATAAATGTCCACTATGTCTTCCTCTACTCTGATAACATTGTTATACTCCGCTGTTATAATCGATTGAGGTAACATCCTGCTACTATAATAAAGTAATGTAAGAAATGGCTTAAGAATATTGTAAGATTTATTCTCTCATTTATGATCCTGATGGAAAAATATGGATTTTTGAGTTCTCTCTTGGGGTGTGCTCGAAGGAACTACGTAGTTTAATGTCATCTCTTGAGTACTTAGTGTCTAATGGAAGACAAGTACTTCTGGGAGGCATTAGATTAGACGGTTCTGCCACATCTTTAATCCATAAATGCTGAATCCAAACAATTTGATCCTTTCTTGCTTGGAGAGGAGATAGTACCATGATGCCCAATATCATTGGAGTTATTTACATTTGGTGCAGTTTTGTCAGGCACAAAGTATGGTTTGAGGCAAACACGTGGAAAATTTGGACTTGGTGCTAAAATGGTAAAGTTTTTTGTTTACGCTGTTGAGAAGAAGCTTTCTAAATTGTATGCTGCTGTGAACTATTGTTTTGTATCTTTTTGATAGATAAGAATGAATGCAAACAGTTAGTTGAGTTCTGCATTATCATGAAATGTTGAAATTGTTTTCTTTCTTTTGCTTGGGCTTGACTGTCTTTGAGTTTGGATTGGATAGTGCAAGTGTAAAACCAAGTATTGCTCATCTTATGCTGTTTGTCATGATACTTTTATTTCATTTCTACATAGCCATGTAAAACTTGCATCATAACTAATGTAAAATGTTATTACAATCATAATAGCAACTTGTTTGCAGTTGGCATAATCATCCTTTTCTTTCACTTTGATTATACCTTTTAAGTGATCTATTATTAGTTTGTTCTCTTGTTTGTTGTTTCAAATTTGATGGTATTCTTTTGCTTAATCTATCCCATGTCTAAGAGATACTCATGGTGTTTTGCCTCTGTAAAATGGCTTATGACAATAAACATGTGACCTATTCTCATGGATTATTATTTTTTTTACTGGCTCTAATGTTCTGTTTACATTATAATTGTGGATTAGAACAGGCACTTATATGATCAAAGATGAGCACAGGACTTCCTATTGAAATTAAGTCATCGATGAAAGGCCAGAACTATACTTCCTTCTGTCGCCTGGACATAGATATTCATAAGTAAGTACAGCTTGTTGGTTCATGTGTCTGTTCAACACACGTACTGACTTGATATTGCTTTTTGTCTCTATTTATGTCAGTTTGGTAACTTCTGCAGTTTACCTTTACCATGACCCATCTTGGTGTATTCCCACTTCTCAGAAATATCCCTCATGTCCATTTACATGAGAAAAGAGAAAACAAAACTCACTGGCATGGGGCAGAGATTGAAGTTATAATTGAGGGAAATTGGACAACTCATCGTGTGAGTAGCACGTTTTTGGAACATTTGAAACAAGGAATTATGCTGTAAAGCTAATCAAGTGATCTCTTTCGTGCAGTCAAAGATCCTCCATTATATGTGTCAGATGGCAGTCATCACGCCATATGCTCAGTTCCTTTTTAAATTTCTATCTGATGCAGCAGAGTAAGCATTTCGTTTATGGTTATTTATGTTGTGCGAAAGCTGTTGCCATTTTTTCATGAATGAATTTGTTTCCTGCAGCAAAAACTTAACAATAAAGTTTGCACGGCGGACAGATGTTATGCCTCCTGTTCCACTTCAAACAAAGCATCACCCATCTGCGGTCGATTTGTTACTGATAAAACACTTAGTTGCAGAAACTACAAAGCAAAATCTTTTACAGTTTCTACAACACGAGTTCGTGAATATAAGCAAACCACACGCTGAACGTTTTATTGGTGAGTTGTATGATATGCATTGTGGCTGACCTGGTTATTGTAAACTAAAAAAATAACTAAGTCAATATAGTTTCTATCTGTTTTCAACACATCATGGACCACTATAGTCCAATTTTCTAGAATAGAATCTTTTGCGATCGTGAAGTGCTTCCTTTGACAGTTTGATCTTGCCTTGCTGTTTATGGTTCTGAGTTTCAGTTATGTTTCTAATGTTGCTTTTTCAAAGTATTCTACTCTCCACTAAAATTATTTACAAATCCTATTATAACCTGTTTTGGGCTAAAAATGTAGTTGTATTTTTGTTATGTACTTTTGTATTACTCTGTATCTAGGCTTTACTATTCTTGTTATCAGTTCTATGTTTTAATATAACATATTTTTGATTTGGTAGGAGAGATGGGACCTGATTTCAGTCCAAAAATGACAGTTAAGCGCCTTACTTCTCAGCAATTAGTTCGAATACATCAATTATTTAGGCAGGCTAAGTTTGATGATCCCAGCGGCAGTGTATGCATTCCCTACCTCCTTTATTTCTCAGCTATTCTTTGGCTGCTTTCATATGTGCAACTGGTCATCGTGGTATCAAAATCAACCAATTCTATAGTGTCTTAGTCCTGCAGGTGAATATAATTTACGCCTGGGTATCATAAAAGAGTTGCACCCTGATATGGTTGCAACACATGCAAGCAGGTATATCATTTTAACCAGATTGAATTCCAGAAGGCATTTCAATACTGCATATTTGAACAAACTAATAACTTAAATGTTGTCCTCCGTTCAGCCCTCAGGTTTTTGAAGGTCACCCGTTTATTGTTGAAGCTGGGATAAGCATTGGTGGAAAAGATGTTAAACAAGTAAGGAAACACTTCAAGTTTTACTCTGTAAAGCAACATTTATGCTTTTATTTATTGTGTTAAAAAAGATTGTAGAAACATGTATTTTGTTTGTCCTTTGTGGTTCCAGCAATTTTCAATGATAGGCAAATAGCCCCCCAAACAGATCACCAGGAACTCTCATACACACGAAAACAGTGGGTTTGGTGGCTGGAATGACTTAGTCTTTCTGATTTTCTCTCCAATATATATAGGCAGCCGTGAGCTACATTTTAGGCTGTGATAGCCTTGTAATTAATGCAGAATATTACACAATTAGCCTCTATTACTGTTATTACTTCATGCTGAAATTAAGCTAAAGTTAAGGCTATGAAGTATGAACCTAGACACAGGATTATTCCTAACATTCAATGTGTGATGGTAGTTATTGTAAAGATCATGATAGTTGATTATTCCTATTTGATTTGCTGTCTTATTTGATGCTAACATTTTTAAATTTCCCAGGGTAGTTTCTTTTTATCTGAGATACTATACTGAATTAAACTCCTAGAATGGCCTGTCCTGTAAAAAACAAAAATATTATTTTTGAAAGAATTTATGAATTTAACTACTCTAAAAATTGGAAGAATGAGAACTCACAATTTTGGCTATGTGTTGAGACCTGGGCATATCTGATTTAAACACTAATAGCTGCTTGCGCGTTTTAGATTCATTGAGTTCTTCCACTTCATTGATTTGATGGCGAAACTTTTAAGGAGCAAACATAATTGTTTGTCAGTATTACATTGAGCTCCAACTATGGGGAATGTTCTTTCCATCCTTTGCTTTTTACTCCCTCCGTCCGTGAATAGAAGGCGTAACCACTTTTTTCTATAGTCCAAGTATACAAGGAGGCTGAGTCCTGGCACCATTCACGCGCATGCAACATTTACTGCTGTGCCTGCTAACGTCCTCGCCTCCTCCCTCGCCGCATGCACAGACCGTTACTCACAGAGCATGCATGTTCTCTCTCGCTGGTACTGGAGGAGTTGCGCCTTCTATTTATGGACGGAGGGAGTAACTGACAAGATATCACTACATGATTCTACTGGGATTAAAATTCTTATATTGTTATCTTTGTTTCATTCAGGGTCTAAATATTTTTAGGTTTGCAAACAGAATACCGCTTCTTTTTGAACAAGGTGCTGATGTCATCACAAGAACTGCTCAAAAAAGGATCAAGTGAGTTTTTTTTTAGCATGGTTAGTGTATCATTAGTATCAGATGTTCTACCTATTCTATAGCTTTTCCCATCCTTCTTTTTAGTTGGAGCAGCTACAAAATTAATCAACAGCAAGATAAGGTTGGTGTCTTTGTGAGCATTGTAAGTACAAAGATACCTTTCAAAGGAACTGGAAAGGAGTACATTGGGGATGACATAACTGAAATATCATCTGCTGTTATGGTACATTCGAACTTCCCTGATTAACTGTGTCTGTAAGGCCACATATTAATCATCCTCTTGCACCTTCAGTCAGCCCTGAAGCAGTGCTGTCTTCAACTGAAGTCTAAGATTGTGAAGAAACTTCAGGCTCGTGAGCGGCAGGACAGGAAAAGGAACCTGAACAGGTAGTTTCTACTTTCTACTTTGGGGGTCAGAGTATTGTATATAATAATTAGAATTATGGCAAAGCTCCTGTTTTTGAAGCTGTACTGAACCACACATTCCATAATACTTGTTGAATGCTGATATTGGTTGGTATATAGTGTCACTACTGGCATTCAGGCTGACAACGTAAACTCCTGGGACTAAAACTGGTCTTCTCTAATCCTTACCACTATTTGTAGAAAAAGCTACATTCTGTGATAATGAATTTATTGTGAACAAAATGACTCACATGCTGCTTCACACTGACACAAAGTTCTCCCAAATTGTATGCATTTTTATCTTATTTTACTATTTTATATTTGCAGATATATTCCTGATGTTGCAAGAGCGATTATGGAAACTCTGGTAAAAATTGCAGATCAATCTCCCCCAAAAAGGCCACGCTATGATAAGGAAGATGAGGAACTCCTTGAGAAGGTAGATTCTCAGGAGGTGACAGAGATGACATTTAGAGACTGCTTGACTCAGCATGTTGAACAGGTAAGAAAAAACTTATATAGAAACAAAATAAAGATAAATCTGAGTCTGTGACACATTTTCTTGTGTGCTCTGTTTCAAGATGTGTCTGCATTACTTTTCAGAAGTCATATATGATATATTGAATAAATTCGTTGCTGATGTGGAATACAATCATGTCATATTGGTTATTTTTTTTTCCTATTACAAAACTGCTTAACGTCTGGAGTGCCGATAAATTAGGCCATCAAAAGTTTTATTTCAATCATCTGTTTATTTTTTTTATTGTTCCCCAGGTCGACTATGAAATGGCACTGGACTACGCCATGCAGAGTGGAGTAAGCGAGGAGCCCCGAGAAGCAATATATTTGAACTCACTTGAAGGATCTTACAAGTTTGTCGACTTACAGAGTCCAGTCTTTGTGTTCAGATTTGTTCCTTGAGAGGGAAAGTTACACGTTCGCCATCCTCAGGCCCATCAATACCAAATTCCCATAGTTCTTAGGATGAAACTGTCCATGAATTGTATTGATATTGTACCTGAACTTAACGCTTAAGCTGTTTTTACTGAGCTGTTCATGTAGCATAGGCAATGTCCATTACAAGTTGCTAAGTAGCTTGAACCTAGGATGCCTCTGTATGTTGCATTTATGGAGGGAATAACATTTATTACATGTAATTCAAACTAGTGCATTGGTTCAAAAGTTCAGTACTGCATACTTCTACATTGTTGACTTGAGGTGCTCAGAAGTCTAGAACTTGAGAAATTAGTTATAATTCTGAAGGAGCGAAAATATGAAAGTTAATGCCGCTGCTTGGCACATGCCGTCGAGGTCTCCACATTAAATAATTTGCCTGACATTTTCTTTCCTTTTACATGTTTCTGTTTTTATTCACCCTTTTCGCTTGCACTTTTTACCACTACTACATAAAAGGGGGGAAAATCCTTCTATCCTTTAGTTTCACTCGTGGTCGGGCCAAACGCCCGGTGGGTGTAACCGTGTGTGTGTGGGGCCGGGGGGGGGGCAGGGGGGGGGTAGTTTTTGTGTTAAAAACATCACATTTTTCTTTGCTTTAAATGTACTTTAACACCAACCGATTTGCATGGAAAATCACTGGATCCAACATTTTGTTACCCTTTATTTTTGCTGTAAAAGCTAAAGATCTCCCACATCACACATAGCCGCCGTTGGCGCGGATGACCTGGCCGTTGACCCACTCGGCGGCGTCGGTGCAGAGGAACCCGACCACCGGCGCGATGTCGCCGGGCTCGCCGAGCCTCTCCATCGGGCAAATCTCCACGGCGCGCCGCACCATGTCCTCGCTCTTGCCCTTGAAGAACATGTCCGAGGCCGTGGCCCCCGGCGCGACGCAGTTGGCCGTGACGCGGGTGCCCCTGAGCTCCTTGGCCATCGTCCGCACCATCGCCTCCACGGCCGCCTTGGACGCTGTGTACGCCGCGTACCGCGGCGGGAGGCTGCCCACCACGGACGACGTCACGGCCACGATCCGCCCGCCGCCGCCGCGGCGCAGGCGGTTGGCCGCCTCCCGGAGGCACAGGAACGCGCCGCGCAGGTTGACCGCGAGGACGCGGTCGAAGGCCTCGGTGGTGGTGTCGGCCACGGCGGGGTACGTGTCGTCCATCACCCCGGCGTTGGCCACCAGGATGTGCGCGCCACCGCCGAACGCCGACTCCGCCGCGTCGAAGAGTGACCGCGCGCCGGCCTCGTCCGAGACGTCCGCGCGCACGGACACCGCGCGCGGGAGCGACGCCGCCAGCGCGTCCGCCTCGTCGGCGCGCGACGCGTACCCGAGCACCAGGCTCGCGCCCAGGGACGACAGGTGCGCCGCGATGGCGCGGCCGATGCCCCGCGACGCGCCCGTCACGATCGCCACGCGCCCCGCCAGCGGCTGGGCGTTGCCCGCCGGTCGCGCCGAGGCCTCGGCGACGGCGGCGGCTACGGCGGAGACGTCACCAGCGTCTGCCATTGTACCTATCGGCGGCTCTGGGGTTTCTTGGGTCTCGCACGCGCGGGTGCGTCCAGTGTTAACCACTCGCGTGCGGCGCTTTCACCATCCACGTCTCGCCGGGTCCGGCCGTTCGGCGGTTGCGTCCAGAGCACGACGGGGCGGCGACGGGGACCGCGACGTCTCGTGATCCTGGTGCTGTCCAGTTCCTGTCCTGTCCTCAAGTGCGGTGGCATCAAGCTTTCACCTCCGATGGAAGATACCCTTGATGAAAGCGACAATTACGTAGGAATTTCGCAGGGAGACACTTCGATATATGTATTATTCCACAATTTGCACCTTGCAACTTTATTTATCGCTGTATTATTGAATAAATAAGCTGGTTTGTGGATATTCATTCTCAGGTTACAGACCAGCAGTGCAAACAGTGCACATCTATCTATAGGTTGTGTAACTACTCTGTCTTGATCAAGGAACATGTCCGGCAGGTCCAACAGACCAACAGTTCAGTAATTTACAGTTGCTTTTATAGCATCCAAGACCTGCAATAGACTTGGGTTAGAAATCACACTGCAGCTGCATAGCAAAGGGTGGTACTCCAACTGGTAAGTGGTCAGGATCATACCTTGTTCTTGGTGGGCATGTAAAATGGTTCGTAAACGAGAGGAAAAGGAGTGTCGAGGCCGCAGACTCTTGCTACAGGTGCTTCTAACTGGAACAGATCAAATTAGGAATGAATGTGATCAGAGGAGCATCAAGAGACACATGATTGATTTTACATGTTCGATAGATAATCCATTCAGTAAGAAAGGGTGGAAGGTTCACTGCCGAACCCCACCCCACCCCCCCACGCCTGCTGGTGATTGGAGCCTGAGGAATGGTAGCATCTCATAGAGGCAATGCAGAGATGACAATAAGTTGATGTGAATAGACATGTGAGAAGAGTTGCATACACTTTCCGTGGTTCAGAACACCAGGGCTTCGTCCGACTTCAGAACACAGTGGGTTTTCTTCCTAGACACTCTCGAGGAGTACAAAAGTTTCGTGCATACACTCCCTTCTCCCATCGCGTCGCGTCTCTGTGGCGACTCAAGGGGCTCCCACCTGCCGCCGGCCGGGCCTACCCGTCCCCATTCCCGACCGCCCCGCCGCTTCCTCCGGTGAGCGCAGCGGCGTGATGCGGTGGTCGCTAAAAAGGCGGCCTGCCATGGCTCCCTCTCCCGCTTCCTCTTCTTCCCTCCCGTACCCACCCGACCTCCCCATGCTCGACCTCGGCCGGTGGCGCCACTAGGCCGGCGGCGGGGTCCACATCTGCGCCGGATCTGCCTTCCTCGGTGTGCTCCGCCTCAGGTCGTGCGCCCCCGCCCGGATCCACGCGGTGCCGGGTCTGCGAGGCGGCCGGATGGGCGGTTCGCTTTCGCTGTCAAGCTGCGGCTCATGCACGGATCTCGTGCGCCGGTCTGTGGCGGCGTGACCGTGGTTAGCCGGGTGCGAAGCGCTGCGTCCTCTCCGCCTTTGCGCCCTCACATTGCTAGGCTGCCACCGTTGTCGCCGGTCTTTGTCTTGGCAATCATGCGGCCGGATCCGGGGCCTCCGGCGCCGGATCTGGCGTCTGGCGCGACAAAATCGGTCTGGACACGGTCGGCGCGGTGGCGCCCCTTGTGGTGGCCCAACTACGACAACTGGCCATCGTCGGGGCGGATCCGAGCCCTCCATGGTCGAATCTCATGAGGTCTGCTGCGGATCCGGTGAGGGTTGCGGTGCTAGTGGAGCAGCAAGGGGCGGATGAGACGGAGGCCCCTTCCGGGACCTTGTGGTCCGGATCTGCCGTCGGGGCCGCCGTCTGGCGTCCTTGTGGCCGTCGTGGACATGCCTCCTTCTTGCGCATCTGGGAATCCACTTAGGCACGCCATCGGCATGGTCCCCTGGGCGGTAGCCAGAGTTCGCTGCTCGTCGGCCAGGAAGCCCCTTGGCACAGTGGAGCCCCCCTCCCCCGACCCACGGTGTCGACTAACGTGCTTGGGTGTCTACCCTGCCCGGCTTCTTGCTCCGGGCCAGCGGCGGTGGCGCAATCTGTGTCATTTTCCTTCCTGAAGGCGTTGTCGAAGCCTGTCTGCACTGTTCGGGTCGTTGGGGCAGGCTCCGGGATGAAAAAGCTATGTTCATCCTATGGATGAAAATCCTGCCTATGCTTCTCCGAACGTTGTTGGCATCCGCGGATGTCATCCCCTTCTTGAAGGCTTCGTTTGGGGCACTCTAGCTACCCACAACTCTCTTAACCGCAAGGCCGATCGTTGGTGTTGTTGCACCTTTCTGCTGTGCCTATCCGTGCTTCGACTCTTTCTTCGCATTGGTTTATCCTTCGGTGTTTGTTGTTGCCGCTGCTGCTCGGTTCTTTGGCGGATGCTTTCACTGCTTTATTCTTTGCTTGGTTGGATGCTTGGCCACCTCGTCGCCCGGGTCTCCACGCTCATTCACCGCATTGCAGAGCGTGGATGGCCCTCATTACGGATGCTTTGCCGTAATGGTCCTTTTTTCCGGCGGATGCTTGGCCGCCGTGGTCGCTTTCTCGTCTGGATGCTTTGCCACCGTTGTTGTCGTGCTTGCTCCCTTGGCTTCCTTGGTGGATGTTGGCTATCGCGGCTACACTACACCTTAGGCTACCAATGTGTTTTGTCTTACTCGATAGGCTCGGTCCGTAAGGGTTGGTCGGTGGAGAGCCCCCCCCTCTCCTGTGCTTTCTTGTTGTATCGCTTTTGCTATATCGGTGCTTGTGGGATTGAGCTGGTAATTTTAGGATTACCGGCTAGTCCTTTGTAAAAAAAAACTCTGCTTCTGCTTAATGAAATCCGCACGTTCAAAAAAAAAGAAGAGAAGAGCTGCATACAAGGAGCTTTCCAGTCTTCTTGACCGAGGTCTCTACTGTTTCCTTGTCCCATGGTACAAGCGTTTTTAGGTCAATGAGCTCACAAGATACCCCCATCCTGACATATAGTAGCGTCAGATGTAGTCTAGGGAATACTGAGGAACATCACAGGGAGATGGATATCAAAATTTATAGAAACAGTCAAGCTACGAGGACAATACATGTATCACTTGCTATTAACTGTCACTATTTTTTTTCAAAAATCATGTCATTATGTGATATGGATAAACAGAAATGATGCTGGCAACATCAATATGTCATGATGGCCGGTTCTAGTCACAATTTCAGTTTGAGGTTCTTTTTTTTTAATCTAAATTAGTACTTTAAGAATAAAATCTGTCTTTCTATGTAAGCAATATGCATTTAACTATGTGTTCATCTGGTGCAATACTCACTGTGCCTTTGGTGTCCCAGCATAGCAAGTCCCAAGCCCTGGTAAAGGAGGAGGGTTGCGTTAGGCGCGGTGAGCCAATGTAAAAACTTAGTCACTTTAATGGAGATGAAACCCAAAAGAATCCTGTTGGGGCGTAACCCTCTTAGCGACGCGCC